CAGTTTTGGCGATTTTGTCCAAATTGTCGATCAAACTGTTCCGACACTCGACTATCAAAGGCATCATTTTCTTGAGTTTTCCCGTCGAGAATGTCGGCGACATTATTGACCGGATTTTCTTCCACTGATCGTCCTGTACAGCACCTAACATATTGTCCATCAGTGGGTCAGCGCCCGTACGGAAGTCCTGTTTACATAATTTTTTTAATTAAAAATTATATTTGAATTTCAATTATATTTATATCGCTTACCCTTCGGTTTGTAAATATATGAAAGTCTTTGACCAGAATATCGCGAATCAATTCCGGATCCGACACAAAGAGTACAGGTTTTGTGATTTCGTAGACTCCAAACACTTTACCATATCGTTTATACAAATCCTGTTCCCATTCATACCATTGTTTAGTGAATCTCGTGTATAGACTCACATTTACGGTCTTCACTCCCTGTGTCTCCCAATACGTGCACTGAGAGGACACATATCTATTGATTTTAATTAGTATTATTATTTAGTTTTTAATTATTTCAAAAAACCAGAATATATTTAATTACCTGTGGATCAGATATAATGTGGTCAATAGACAAGTTGTGATCACAAATGACCACTTTATTAATGAGTAAGAAAATAGTAAATCTAATAATTCAAACATTTTACTAAAATAAATAATTAACTTAAATCAGTATTCAATTAATTAAACTAGTTATTAGTTTTATTAAAGTTTTTTCAACATGAGCCAATGTTTTTATACATAATTTCAGGGTTATGAGAGGACTTTTCGTTAAATATGATAATTTTGTTTATAATAAAATTTTATCTTTAATTATTAGGTGCATAAATATATCACAAGATTTATAATTTATTAAATAACATAATAACTAATATCCAAATTATTTAAAATATTAAAATTGCATAATATGCAAACAATAGACAAATGTTGTTTTATTTTTAGATTTTGTAAAAATATTTTTTTAAATTTTTTGGGAACATTATATAACACATTAAAAGTTTTATAAATGCTTATTTTTCACTTTTTTTTTGCTTATTTAAAAGTTCTTTTCGTTTAAATTAATCGACACTTTTATCACTACTTATCGTTAAAACACATGCAATAATATAATGTATACAATTACATTAAATATTTTACCTCTTTTTTAGTAAACAACCTTAAGGTACTTTGTAATAAACATTTGTGATTAAAATTTATTGTATTAAAATTGTTGATTTAGATGTAATACCAGCTTAAAAACAATTTATAACGTTTATGTTTAATTTATATTCAAGAATAATTTATAAAACTCCAGATCAATTTCTACTGGAGTGGTCAATGAGGTAAATTATCATTTTAATTACAAAATCATCAAGATTTTAATTAATGTTCAAAGCGCGTAATAATTGAAATTACAAATATTCTATAAATTATTTTTATTAATAAAAATCTATTAACTACTGTATTATACAATCATTTAAACAAAATTTGTAACATTCATAAAATGTTTTAATAAAATTAAAATAATTACAATTTAAATAAAATAATTTGGCGAATAATATGTACAATAATGTGAATGAATAGCCATTGAATCAAATGATATGCCATTCAATAAGACAGGCGAGTGTCAGGAATGTGAAGAATATGCAAATTAAATATATTCCGTGCAGTTTTGTTGCCTTGAATTTGGTTAATATCATAATAAGTAGTGTTGAGCCCAAACTCAATGATATCGTCGCGTATAATAAGGTAACCATTTTTGAATAATGTAACTAATAATCAATTGATTTAAGAATTAATTTCAATTTGTTTTAAATTATTTGCTGGCAATAAATGTTTCACTTACTGTCACTGTTGTACCGCTACTGAGTAGCACAGTATAGGGAATACCGATTCCTAACAACATATCTATTTTATAAACAAAATTAAAAATAATTTATTAATTTTAATTAAATTCATATAATTAATAGTTAATTTACTGAGTACTGGTCCACCAAAACAGGCAGAGATACCCATCCGTGGGAAACCATTGCGAGCCATACTTATGTTGGATATAAAATCTATAATAAAAAATTTAATAATTTGTTTTAGTATACAATGGGTTTCAATGAAAGGGAGTGTATGTGTGAGAGAGTGAGGGATGACTGAATACCTCCAACACTGTTACCCCAGGCGAGGACAGTGAGGCCCAGCAGGAGGTGACTTAGATTGAAGATAATGCCGATTGCGGTCAAGAGGTCGACCACTTCGTTGGCGAGAGCGTAGATCCAGGAGACGGCGATTATGAAACCGAAGTACGCAAACACCCAGTGATAGACCGGCGGCTTCTCGGTCTCCGACGTGAAGAACACGACCAGCGCTACCAGTATTGACACTCCAAACACTATTCCCTCCATTATATAGTTTTGATCGTTTGACACTTGATTTGTATTGAAAAAAATACGATTACAATCCGTTTTTATTNAACACCCAGTGATAGACCGGCGGCTTCTCGGTCTCCGACGTGAAGAACACGACCAGCGCTACCAGTATTGACACTCCAAACACTATTCCCTCCATTATATAGTTTTGATCGTTTGACACTTGATTTGTATTGAAAAAAATACGATTACAATCCGTTTTTATTTGTTAACATACTTTGCTTTTGTGGAAAATATTTACAGTATATATACAATGGAGCGGCTGAACAAACAAAGTTAGTGCTAATATAAAACTAATTGTGTTTTTCAACTACTGATAGAGAGGTTATTAATTTTGAATACAATTTCTGTTACTTTTGGTACAATTAAAGTACACATACTTTCAGTGATGAATAGGAAGGCCTGCGGACTAATTATTATATGCAAAAGATTCAATATTTTGCACCAATTATTACGTTCGTCCTCTTCGTCCACCACTGGTGTCGTAATCGTTAGTATGAAATAAATCGGAGACTTAAATGACAATTAAGACAACGAATTAATTGAAATAAATGTACAAAAAAACTCAAATATAAATTCAGACCTTAAAGATGGCAAATATCTTCCAATAGATGGGATCTGTTTTGAAACTTTTCCAATCGATTGGACAGATTTGCATAAGGAATTCGTGCCAATCATTCATCACAAATGTTGTCGATTTTGACGACCAAATGCTATTCATACTTATTTTACTCAATTGATGTAATAATAGGACCCTTTTCTTCTCGCCCACCACTGGTGTATGGTTTGGGAACGAGACGTCCGATATTGTATTGCCTTAATATTATCAAAATTAGTTATTTAAAAAAGTTACTTCCCATTCAAACAATGGTAAAACACTTACTTCGTTGAGTTCTGCCCCGAAATTCTTCTTCATTGTCTGCTTTAGAGACCGTGAATATACTCTTCCGCTGTGAGCCGTTTTGGTAGGGCTGATGGATGTTAGAGAGGGTGCGTCTCCTTTGCGGTGACGTAACGCCGATATCGCGGAATTTGATTCCTTCGCAAAACACACAAAATACTATTAATACAAAAAAAACACAAATTCAAAAATAATTGTTTATTACTTCTGAGTACAACTCCTTCATAGTTGTCGTCCTGCATGTCATTAATGGACGTGCGCTTGGCTTTGGACGCCTGGCGACCGAAGTATGTGCGCGCGAACACCAGTTTACTCACTCGACCCGACACTAAAAACACAATATTAAACATTAATTACAGACAAACACATACACACCGAGAGGACGGGTGAATCGGGGGTCGGATTAGCTATACTTACTCTCTTCGGGCGGTTCATCGCTAGATTCGGTCTTTTTCTTATTGAGATATTTAGTGTATATAATGCCAGAGCCGACGACTGTAATGATGTAAAATAAATAGATGCAAATGAATGCAATCGAGTGGGACATCTTGATAGAGCCGCCCAAAAACGTCAGCCACACTATAAAAGTGGTCGATATGTAAAACACGATATCGCGGCACAGGGGCCGAGCCATCGGCTTGAAGTCGGACAGTATGAATATAGTGCCGGCCACTACTGTTGTTACAAATATACCGGCGCCTATTTTGTGTGCGGGGTTTGAGTTAATTTCATGTTTGGTATTAAATTAGTTGTATTGTGTGTGTATTGACTGACCGTATAGTTCGCCGACCACCAGCTCCGGGTTGGCCTGTCGTATGCCAGCGATGGATGAAAATATATCGGGCGCTCCGTTTCCAAAGGCTAAGAATGTGACCCCCTTTTCATTGCAATT